TAAACTTGTGTAGGAGAAGGCGCTAATCTGGATTGTGAATTTCTGAACTGCATGGTCATAAGCCTATAGAAAAAGTATATGTAGTACTACTATGCCTAACCTTTAATTAGACCTTAGAACTATAATTTTATTTGTCTCCTTTTCATTTGTCTTTATTTCTTCTATTATATCTTGGCATCACAAAGAGATAACTGATTAAAAAACCTATAATTCTAACTGTATACTTACATGAACTCCATGTCTTTCATACACTTAAAACTCTATAACATTAATTTCTGTAATTCCAAAACTTCAGAGAACATACTGTTTTAATATTAAATGGTATAAGAAGTACAAATTATATGGAACATCAAACAAATCTGAATTTAGTTTTAAATAAATCAATGTAAACAACAGGATAGCTATTAATTTTCGTATTATCTTTTAACAAATAGAGCACTCAACAAATTTGTTACTCATTGTTCTCTATAGGTCTGAAATTATAGGGGCAACTTCTGTCACTGTTGTGGCAAATCAAAATGCGATAGAAAAAAAGTGTATCACGGTTTCAGGGGCCAAGTGGCAGTAGTTAATTGTCAAACACAAAATGATCATGTTTATTGAAATCGACAGCTAGAGATGTAAATAGATTATTATGCTTTCCAAAGACCTGTGGATTGGCTCATTTATCATTTTTTCCCTAGAAGTAAAATAGTAGAACCCTCTGTATAACTGATAGAGTTTTAGCTCAAATGGAGTAAAGTTTAAGTGAAATTGTAAAAGCAGTGAGTCAACACACTTCCATTGAGTTTCTGGAATTGATCTAGTTTGCAGATTGTGATGCTCTTGAATAAAGGAAAGTCTGAGTCATATTGAAGAACTCCATTATTCTGCCAAATATACACTAGTAATCTTTTTCCATTGCTTCCACAAAAGGACCTATGAACTTATCCCAGAATGACTGTATTTGGGAAAAATAAATAATATTCAAATTTTGGAGGATTACTACACACTGGTTCTTACTGATATTAATTCCAGGAATGGGAAAGCATCATTTTGACCCAACTATTGGAATAAAGACTTATTGTGGATAAGCAATCAAAAGAGATTTAGTTTGTTGTTTATCTATATGTGAGTCCAGTGGGTCACCAAGTAGTTTCTATGAATGTTTTCCAAGCCCATAATGTATACTTTGAATATATGTATTAGATAGAATGATTGAGTCTGATTACTGAGGGAAAATTGTACTACTTCTACACAATAGAGACATGAAAGTGTATGCTTGGACTAGAAGAGATTCTTTAAGCTTTTATTGGTATTACGTCTATGATTAAAATTAATGAAAACCTACAACAAAATTCAGGCATGACAACTAATGATCAACTTGCTCAAGTATGAAAGTTTGGGCTACTCACCCAGGTAAAGGGGCATGATAATCTGAGGTGTGCTGAGGGCAAAGATATAGAATAAATAGTTGTAGAACATAAATTAAAGATCAGCTACAGTTTCTTGAGCAGTTGCAGAAATGAGGACTGCAATGATGAATACTATTTCTTCCTTTAACATATTGTGAATATGTTTGTGTATATGTGTGTATAATATTTGTTATTTCCCCTCACTGCTTAGTTAAATAACATATAAGTTATATTGCATTTATTTCATATTTGAGAATTATCATCTTTACATCTTAGCATTTTAATTACAAGATGCCAAGAGAGACATGAATATTACTCAAACACTTTACATCCCATTGTGGAGAAAGAGTACAAATTTGGTTTTATGTATGGCATTTCGTTGGAGTATGTCTTTGCTGTTGTCCTTGTTTGGGGAATAACAACACATGAATTGAAGAGACATGTGCTATTTATGCACAATAGTGTATACCCTTCCATAAAAGATAAACTTGAATAATTTGTAGGAAAATGGATGCACCTTGAGACCTTAACACTAAATAAAATAAATCATACACAAGATTAAATTCATATAATTTTTATATGAGAAATTAAAAAATATAAATAAATTAAAGAGCAAAGTAAACGCTAGATAACAAGCAACAGGGACCTAGATCTTTTGCAAAATAGAAGAGGAGAAAGAGATGGAAGGATGGGAGAAAAGATTAAATGTGTTATGTACATATACTGAATGTAATTATTACCTAGTGCAAAAATACACTAATAAAATTTTTAAAAAGGAATTTTGTGGTTGCAAAATAGACAGAAGCTGAACTGTAATTATTAATTGATTGTGTCAACTTGTATAGGATATGATACCCATTTATTTGAGCAAAAATAACATAGGATATTTTTTGGTCTAATAAGCATTTAAATTAGAAGGCCTATTAAAGCATATTAGCCTCCATAATACCCTCAGGACTCTTCCAATTAGTTGGAGGATTTAAAAAGCAGAGAATAAGGTCCCATGAATTAGAAAGAACTCTCCTTAAAATCATCAACTCTTACTCAAATTTCTAAACTGCTGATCTGCTTCACAGATTTTAACTTTACCAGCTCCTACAATCATGTGAGCAAATTCCCATAAAATAATCTGTGTGTGTGTGCCCCTATGGAGAAAAATAGAAACAATTGATAGGATTGTTGATGTGTGTGTCTACATACAAGGGTAATCTTAGCTAATGTGCTCAACTATCACACTTTAATTAGTACTCAATAAAAACATGCTAAATTTAATATTTGTTCAAAACATTTAGCAACAAAAGATGTTTTCTTACATTGATCAATATTGTTAAACTGTGATTTTCCTTTTGAAGAAAAGGTTGTAAAAGTGTCAAAAGAGTTTGCTAAGTCCAATGTAAAAGATTAATATTTAAATTTTATCTCAATATAAAACATACCAAGAGAGAGAAATGAGAATAAAAGAAAGTAGGTTTTTGTTTTAGTTCTTTCTTGTATTTAAATTGATGGACATTCTATACAGATTCTGCAGGAGTATTTCCCTTTTATTCTAAGAAATATGTCCATTCAGTATATCAAAAATAAACAATAACAGTATCTCTAGCTAAATATTCTCTGGAAATAATTTTTTATACATGCACATACAAACATACATACACATTTTTAGGTCTCTCATTCTTTGCAAGGAATTTCCCTTAACCTCACATCTAATTAAACACAAGTATTGGTTTTCCTTCAGAAGTCTACTTACATACCAAATTTGGTATGTATTCCCATGGAAACATCCTAACTCAGTGTTTAATCTCATGAGTTATCTCATAATATTCCTTTTACTAGTCTTCTTGACTCTAGCTTTTCCTCTCAGAAAAAAAGTCTTGCAGAGTAGCTCCAAAATATTTTTTCCAAATTATCACTTTTATTAGTTTCCAGTCAAAGTCCACTATTATCTTCTTGACTTAAAAAATAATCTTTTTCCATTTCTTTTCTTTCTTTTGTTTGTTTTTTGGTACCAGGGATCGAACTCGGGACCTTGCACTTGCGAAGCAGGTGGCAGAACCACTGAGCTAAATCCCCAGCCCTTTCCTTTTCTTTTTCCCTCTTTTCTTCCTTCCTTTCTTTCTTTATTCCTTCTTTTTCTCCCTCCTTCCCTTCTTCTCTCCCTTTTTATTGACAAATCCTGCATTGTATCCATATGTACTACACATTTCTGTGCCAATTTCCATCTTTAGATCCATTAAAACAAATGTTGGCTTCAACAGTACAACTCCTTCTTATTATCAAACTTTAATTAAATTTTTAAAAATTCAAATGTAAATATGATAAAAAGTAATTTACATTCCCACTGAAAGAGAACATTAAATAAAGAAAATATATAAAGAAAAAAATTAAATGTTAATGCTTACATCTTAGAATTCTGCTCAAGAAATAACTTCAAAGATAATGACAATACTTTCTCCAGTTCATGGTACACAAATCTCACTCTTGCAGATACTTGATAAACAACCACTCATACTCATTGTGCATTAATCTGTATTGACCACATAATAGATATACAAAGTCAGTTTGATTGGGGCTGAGAATTTCAACCTTCTATGTGACCTACAGAAGGTTGTCATGGATATTGGTCTCCATAGCCTTTACATTATAAGATTAAAAAATAAGTTTTTAAACAAATGTATGTTTCTAAACTATTATTGACAAATTGAATAGAATGTCTCTATAGGATAATAATAATATATGGTTTACCCTATGTCTTAGTTACTTTTCTTTTCGCTGAGACAAAATACCTGACACCCAAAGTTGAAGGAGGAAAGGTTTATTTAGCTCACAGTTTGCAGAGGTTTCAGTCCATGGTCAGCTGGCTCCAAGGCAGGGTAGCATGGCAGAGGACCACCGCAGAGGAGAAACAGTCCATGGCAAAGCAGGATAGGGAGAAGGCAACAAGCAGCAAGTGAGCAACAAGAAACCAGCAATCCCTTTTTATTCCTGATATCTTAATCATCCTACTCACCCTTAGGACAGGTAGCACTCACACCCAGGGTGGGAAACTCTTAATCCTACCCAGAACCATGCCAAACCAATCAGTGGACTGATTTAGTAATCACACGTTCATGATCCCAGCATCACACACTTCTAATCCAGCCACCCCTGAAAGCTCCACCTATGACTACGTGAGGATTCAGGAGGACATCTAGACACAAACCGTAATACCCTAACATCAAATTTTTCCAACACTTATGTTAGAAACTGAATTTTCATTCATTATTTTTTATAGTCTGTGCAATTCAAATAAAATATTTCCAAGCCTCTTGTGGAAGAATTGAGAATTGAGCATAACTGCATCATTAGTTTACCCCACTCATCCAATAAAGACATTTTATTGAGTGTCTGCTATAAACAAGGTCCTATTCCACTGTTTAAGTTTACTGTGCTAGACGAGTCAGACAAAAAACTTTTGACTTTTGGAAATAATAGTCTAAGGCCAAGAGATAATAAACAATAAACAACAAATAAACTCCTATAAAGTTAATTTTAATTATTATTATTTTCTTTCAGACTTACTTGCTTTAGAAACAAAAGAAAGAACTGTAAATCCAAGGGCAAGTGTTACTGGGAGGTATTAGGAAAAATTAGATGTCCATCACCTTCCTTGTGGTCTGCTCACTCCTTAGTCTTTAATATGCTCACATCCTCCTGCTGTCTTCTGTAGCTGCTTGTCAAGACGGGCTGTCAGCCATCACCTTCTGCGCATCACACAGACTCAAAGTGCTTTCTATCAAGAGAAGTAAGTACTGTCATCAGTAAGCATCGCCTTGTGCTTTTCAACTTTGCCATTGCTCCTTGATTGACACCTTTGAAATTCTGTTAGCTTTTCTTTCCTTTGTTTGCTTTACACAGAACAGAAGAGAATTTACAGTTGCTGTCCATTAGAAGAGAATTTACAGTTGCTGAGAGAAAGTCGAGTCTCATAAATCATACATTGGAGAAATATAACAATAAAGATGACTGAATTGAGATTATACACTTAGTTGCACAGAAGACTTCTGAAAATAACTAAAGTTTTCAAATCTTCAGGTATAGATTAAAATTTTATGGTGAAAAAAATAAATATATTAAATATTAACTGTTTTTCCTGTGTGTAATAATATTTTTATTACTTTTGAAGAACAAACTTTTGTTAAATAGGTCAAAATCAACAATTATTTGTAGAATCCAAACCTCTATAAAATAAATTATAAATTAAATATATTGATAAATTTCTTCATGTTGTTCATTATATAGCAGAAAGCACTAATTACTCCAGAGGTGAGTGCTGTGTCCTTGGAAGTCTCTCCACAATACAGATAAAATAATGTTAAGTTCTGCTCTTTGGCTTAAGAATTTTTGAGGTTGAAACTAAGAAATTGGGAACCATCTGTTTACTATCTCTTTAATTGAAAATGCATATATAAATATATTTATTTAATAAAGTACAGATATTTATCACTAAAAAGCTAATGTGATGCTACAGCAAAACTATTAGTAACAAAAAAATGTTACCAGGGTCAGGGATTTAGCTCAGTGGCACCGTGCCTGCCTAGCAAACAGAAGGTCCTGAATTTGATCCCTGGTACCAAAAAAAAATTCTACACAATGATGGTCATAGATATTCTTTGTTTTTTTTCAGAGTGGATTTCTCAGTTGAAAGTTCTACTAAAAGATTGAGATATGTTCAGTAACTCATTATAGTAGATAACATGGATTCAAAATATTTTTCCTTTAAATCCTGTAGACATTCTCATCACAGAAATATACACAGAATATCAAAGTGAAGATAGACATTAATGAAATAATGAATAACTTATCAGGTAAATAATTAAAAATGAACCTAGTAGAAATGGAAGTATTGATTTTGAGTGCAAGTATTTAACATTTCATAATTTCCTAATTATATAAGGATTCCATATTTCTAAGACTCTAGTTTTCTGATTAATGAGCAGATATGTAATACATATTTTATTTCTATTTATAGCATTATATATTTATAATTAACAATAAAATAAATACAAAATTAAAAACAGAAAAATTGGTTGAGCAAGTGATGAATAAAAATTATATATAGATGTTTGCTCCAATAAATACATTTATAATTCCCTGTGTTTTATATATTTATTTATTTCTCAAAACTTTTCAGGTTGGCTACAATGCAAAATTACAAAAGATTGTTGTACGTGGATATACTATATGTGAGTTCTCATTTCTGGTCCCAGGATACCTGGGTAGACACACAGAATGACAACTGTAGTGCTCTGTAAAAGTAAATTTGTCCCTCTAAAATTCATTTCAAGTATATTGAGATAGAAGCTTTAAAGAGATGAGTAAGATAAATGAGGTCATAATAGTGGGTGCCCTAATTTCTTATTAGTAGAGTTCTTACTGGAAGTGTAAAAGACACCCAAGGTGCACATCCACAAAGGAAATAGTATGTGAAGACACAGTGAGAGTCCAGCTACCTGGCCTCAGGTGAAATCAAACCTACTCATACCTTCATCTTAGACTTTCAGACTCTCCAACTATGAGAAAATAAGAGATACTTATTTTACGCTGGTGAGTAGCAAACCCACACACAAAAGTATGGCAACATTTCTGCTTGGGACCAACATTCTGTTGACCTCTTTAGTGCTATTTTTCTTTTTTTTTGGTACCAGGGATCAAACTTGGGACCTTGCACTTGCGATGCAGGTGGCAGAACCACTGAGCTAAATCCCCAGCATTTCAGTGCTATTTTTCAAAACTAGTCTCATCCCTAATCCACAGTGGTGAGACAGGTAAATATGGGACTCTGTTGTAGGTCACAGAAGGATTAATAAATTTTGTTTTAAATAATATAAATTACAAGACGATATCTTAGTGTCACAGGTTTAGGTTTTTTTCCCCTCTATGTGCAAAAAAAAAAAAAAAATACATACACTCAAGGATGATATTCTGGAATTTCTTACCAATCAAAATTTGTAGCCCAAAGTCTTATTTTTTGATAATATCTATATCAGATCTAGATGTGGTTCCTCTTGGAGTGAAAATTTAAGAACAACAGCAAAATGATAAAAAGAAAGAAAGGGGAGGAGGAAGAGAGAAAAAAGGGAAGAAAGGAAAGAGAGAGAAAGAGGATGAAGAGAGGGAAAGAGGGACGCTCACTCAGTCCAGTGGTAGAGAAACAAGGTCTTACTTTTTTTTAAAGATAGAAATTGAAATTTTTCTCCCTGAACTTCTCTCTGAACTTCCTTCATTGAGTATTAATACTGTACTTTGAGAAAAGCAAGGAAGCCATTATTCTATGAGTTTCTACTGGATGTTCTGAATATTTGACTATTTCATTATATTACTTGAACAAAACTGAAAAAAGCTTTAGACAATATTTACTCCTTGATGACTTGGCAACTTCCTCAGTTAAATTTCTGTCCACAAAATATTAGATACTCAAGAATAAATTTCCATTACAAATTGTCAAACTCATCCTGCATGCAAAACAGAAATGTATGTCACCTATCTGTATCAAAACATCATTAATTTTTCCTGAATTGTTTGTTGATTTATTGATTCTAGTCACACCAGAGCCACAATTATTTTTAAGAAATAGCCCTTCTCTTAATTCAATAGTGATCCATTGGACAAATAAAGCATTAAATGCAGTATGTTCTGTATCTTTTTGAAACTTTTTTTTAAAAAAATACACATTTTCTTTGACTACATCCAATCAGTGGAGTATCTCAATATAAGACATCTTCATACAACACATTGCTTCATGTTATGAAGCATTTATCTTTCAAGACTCAGTTTTTGCAAACCAATTTACCCTTATTCATGCATTTGTCTGTATATATTTATATCTCAGTTCAATCCAACACATGGAGCTTAATCCAGTGAGCATGTTTTCCACCTTTGTACTCCCATCATTCTTATATATTGGATAAATTCTTCAGATGCCTGTAAGTACTCAATCTCTTTTCACCTCTTTTAGTAGATTTTTCATCACTGGGACACATCACACACAATTCAAAGGAGAGTTTTATTTTGGTTCATGTTTTAGAAGTTTCAGTCCTTGCACAGGTGACAGCATGGTGGAAGGACATGGGTAGAGGAAAGCTGCCAACCTCATGGTGGACAGGAAGCAAACTGAGCAGAGGAGCCAGGAAGAGACACATGCTCTTCCAAGTCATACCTTTAATGACCCATGTCTTCCCACCAAGCTCTTTCCACTAAGAGCGACCAGCTATACAGTCCCTACAGTCCAATCACCTTTCAAACACTCTACTTTTGAGCACATGAGATTGCGGTGGGAACCTCCTGATACAAACCTTGACATTATTCTGTTTTCACTTTAGCTGTACTTTAACACCTGTACAGGTCACCCTGCTGTTGTCTTCTTCATAGATGTTGCTCCTTATGCAAATGTCCCATTCTCCTCAGATACTGGCCATGCCAATCTATCCTCCTCAGCCCACTTGTGCTCTAACACACTGCACTCAAAATTGTTTACAGAAGAGGTCTCCTGTAATACCTTACCTCAAGTGTCCTTGCAGGTGGGCACCCTCTCCACTGAACTTGGCATAAATCACGCTATATAAGGCTCCTCCTAAGAAAATTGGTGTGGCAAAAAAAAGAATAATTTTACAATAGAGAAGACTCTATTCTTTCTAGAGAAGAAATAACCAAGGTAGCATCAATGTAAATGTGTTGAATAGAAGAGTGTGCCACTTAATAGGATACAATTAGAAAAAATTATTTTGAAATAGTCCTGCCAAGTATGCATAATTTGAGAATAGTCATAAAGAAACAGTTACCAAACTGAAAAGAAGGATTACTAATAATCACTGGCCTATAATGTTCAGAAGTGTCAAGGTCCTAAAAGTCAGTGTCAAGTGTTTTTTCTAAATAGAGGAAGTGTAAATAGGAATAAGGGAAAGCTACCTATGAGTCTAATCTGGGACATTCTTTTTTATAGACATTTTATAGAAAAGTTGCCAAATTTGAGTTGTATCTCAGGATTGTACAGTGGTAATATATGAACAATTTCTAGATTGTAACAATTACATTTTAATTGCATGAGAAAATTACTTTATTTCTAAGAAATATATTTTAAAATATTTAGAGGTCATGTCATACCTTATAGACATTTCAGACATATAAGAAATGTTTTAGAGTTTTATTTGGTCATAAATGTTTAATATAGGTATACATTGTGCAATCATAGTATTTTATTTTCCAGAAATATTCATGAACATCTGCTGTGAGACAATTTTTTAAATAAGAGTATAAGGCCTTTTCCTAATTTCCTATTTATTTCTCTTCTAGTTTGCTCTTTATATATATATATATACATATATATATATATGATAAATGTATCATATATATTACATATATTCATGCAATATTTGAGCTTGTGTGACTGACTTATTCCACTTAGCATTATGTCATTTTGTTATCAAGTTGTATCCATTTACCTATAAAGTTCAAATACTTCATCAAATTACAAATTCCATTTTTTTTGCATTTTAATAAGAAATCCATTATTTTATTCATTCATAAATGACTGAAAAAGTATATCTTCATGTTAAAACACAACCTACATATAACATTTTAAAGCAATAAATTTTGTAACAGTCATATCAATATAGTAAGATGTCTTCAGTAAGTACCAAAATGTGAATAATAAATCATTCTCCATTGATTGTCCAATAACGGTCCTAATATTTTTAGCTCTGTTAAATTTTTTTGACCAAAACTGTGCCGGATAATAAAAAACATCTTTAAATAAAGTATATAATAAAGTATCAGACTTTATGTTTTTGTTAACATAAAAATTAGTCAGTCCCATAATAATTTGGTCAAAAACCCCCAATGAAAAACTCTTTAAATGCTGATGGAAACCTAGAATTTGGATGGCTGCTTTTTGGAGGGGGCCAAAGCAAGATGATGAAAGTAGTATTCAAAATCTCTAATTTACATTTGGTGGTACATTAATAAAAATCCTTAAAACAAAGTAACAGTTTGAACTCAAAGCATTCTTTCCCCCTTTAATTGTTTTCACTTACTGTTATGATTTTCCTCTTCTAAGAAGTCAAATAAGGAGCAAGTATAGCAGTTTTTTTCTCTGAACATGGGAACAGCTTGTACAGTAGTTATAAATTTGATTATATCCAGAGACAGACTCTCCCAAGGGAAGATTTATCAAGCAAGTCAGCATCAACTACAAATATTCACAAACAGCTGTTAAAACAGTTGTTTATGAATAATATGAAATGACATCTGCTCTGCTTCTTAAGATAGGGAGAGGAAGAGGGAGCAAAAGATTTTGTCTCATTTCTTTTCCTACATAGTTTTCATATTTGGCTCTTGAACTCATTTATTACATTAAACAAGAGAGAACTAAAGAAGAGAGATCCCATTGATCACAGTGGAAATGGTAAGTATATTAGAGGAAGAAAATAGTTGACAGTCACAAAGGGAGGTGAGGGGAAAAGAGCCAAATAGTATTGGTAATAGCATATAATATTATTTAATTAGTGAAGTATAGTATGATATATGTAATTACTATATTAGTGTATTATAGGAATAATATTAGTCACATTGAGATAGGGTTTGGAGAAATTTTCAGTGGTCAAATTCCATTTTCAAAACAATATTTCAATATGTATGCTATGTGGTTTCATTTATACTATTAGTTTATCTTCTTGAAAAAGAAAGTGTTGTGTTATTATCTGTCTCTTTTTTTTGTAAGAATATGTTCAGTTTGTCTTTTACTCTGAGCAGTCTCTTTGAAGATAACGATACACATTTATAGCTAAGTGGATGCACATTGAGGCCGTACTCTTAAGTGAAATAAATAGGACACATGTGTAAATAATGAATAGTTTCTCTGGTGTGAAAAAGTGAAAGTGTAAATAAGGATCAAAATGTATAATTGATATTGCGAAATAGGAAGAAAAGATCTAAAGGAATAGGGGAAGTAGGAGGGGTAGGGGAAAGGAAAGAAGGGAAAAGAAAGAATATGAGAAAAGGAAAAAAATGGAAATGAAGTCTTTGTAAATAGGGAAGAGTGGAGGGGGTGAAGGGAGGCCAAGGGAATGGGAAAAAAATAAGAACCAGGATTCATCATGTAAAGGTACAAGATCTCAATGATGAATGTAACTGTATTGTATACCTAAAATGTACCAATAAACTTAATGGGAAAAATGTGTTTAATTCATTTAAGAAATGAGAGATTTGTTGTGACTGAAGCAGAGTAAATACAAGGGATTTTGGAGCAGAAAGAAATAGAGAATTAGACAGAGGCCAGACACGTAAAGCATTGAAGTTAATAACAGAAGTCTAAATTTTCTCTCCTAAGAGTGTTGGAGAGCCTTTAAAAATGTCTAAGCTCAATTCATTTGCTTAGAAAAACCACTGAAGACCAAAACAAAAAGAATCATAATAAGTGTGAGATGTGCCTGGAGATCAAAGGAGGTTCCCGATTATACTAGGTAGTGTGGAGCATGTTAAACATCTTATGATCAATTATTAGAGTGTCAGGGACCCACTAAGTGTTTTAAAGTGATTATGAGTGCTTATTAGATTTAACATTTACTTCTAACACAGGAAATAAAGATGTATTTCACAACATTTTAGGTATGTCAAATAATGAAACTACAAGTAACATGTTTTGGTCATAAATACCCTATTTTCAACTTCTTATAAGTACATAGCCTTCCTTTAGAACTCAGTAGATAGAAAGAAGCTCATAATAAACTACATAGATGTGATATTTTGATATAACATAGAAAAAAATCTAAGTTATTTTATTATATAAAATTTATTTAACAATTATGTTTTTCAGTACCGGTCATTGAGCTCAGGATCTTCACACTGAGCTCCCCCCAAGCAACTAAGATACCCAGCTTAATAATCTCTTTGTCACCTTTCTCTGTATCCATTCTCTACTTCTTGATATTATTTTCCAGCATCTCTAAACTAAGTAATCTGGACCAGAATGTTTCAATTAGAATTTACTGCTGGAAAAACACAAATTAATTTATTACTTAAAAAAAGAGAAGGAAGCAACTAGTCATCAGACAGTCCACAATTAAATTATTTTCAATCAAGATGACAACAAAACTCCATTCTGTTGGTAAGTAGATGGTTATAAGTATGGACATGTTGCAGCATTACAGTCGCCAGAGGTCCTGTATATTTAAAGTTGGATGCAATTTCAGTGGATAGAGTTGTGCTACCATAAGTGATCTTTCTTCCCTTTGAAAAATATGTTAGAAATGACACATGTGAGAATGCTGAAATTGGTTGGTTGGTTTTATTAAATGTCACTGGCACACTCAAGAAAAAAAATGACAGGCTCAAACCAATTAACCAAAAAGTCAGTCAATTATGTACAAATGAATTCTGTGAAAGGCAAAAATCCTCTAGAAGATAATTTCATGATACTGCCATATCTTTTGCTGAAACTACACGTAGGACCTAACTTTCACAGAGGGTAACTGTGAAGAAGGCTTATTCAAAATTCGGGAAATGTTCCTCGACTAAAGTTATAGCTCTGATGGTGTTTGTTAAACTCTGGCTCTTGGTATAATGATATCTACTTGTGTATGCTCAAGAACCGTGGTCTTTGAACACTTCTACATTAGTCTAATCACACATTGATAAGCATCAACTGAGATAGGTGCCTCAAATAATACTCATTCTCATCTGTTGCCATCACATTCTGTAAGTACTCTATATCCGCAGCTAGGTTCAAGTGCCAGTATTGGCAGACTACACACTCATTGCTCTATTTCAGATAGGAAGGAGCAGCAACAAAAGCCTCATGACTGATATAAGAAGAAGGAAAACATAACTTTGAATAGATCTTGTGTTACTGGAATCAAAGGGTGACAGACAAGTAAATGTAATTGAGAAAAATTTATAGATCACTTTTGTAAAATAAGTGAATATCTTTGACCTGATCTGAATATGATGATGCTTGGTTGTCTTCTTTAGTCTTGAAATACAAAACAGATGAAACAAATGATCAGAGAAACAAACAAAACAGTAGTTTACAGTAAATGAATTGGAAATAGAAAATATTATGGTGAAGTACTGAGGACTTGGTCAAAATCTTAACCTAGTCCAATGATGATGAAACTTCTAGAGCCTTTAATGACACAAAGAGCCTGCTGTGGAATGCATGCCAAAGGTTTGATCCCACTGGTCTAGTCTCATGCTAAAAGAGATCTATTTCATAAGACTAGAGAAATTTAAATTAACTTTCCTTGAAGAAACCAAAGATTACTTTTTTTCTGGGAAGTAATAAGCAATATACAGGGAGAGCTACTGATACATTTAAAACAAACAAACATAAAACAAACAAAAGCCAGAAAACCAAAATAGAACATAAAACAATACATGTCCTTTCTAGATGAATATTGATTACAGAAGTTATTACAGAACTAAGCTATTAAGAGTCACTAAGGATAAGATTCCAAAAAGCAGAACCCAGTGGAATATGTAACTGACAAGAAGAATTGCACACAGTAACTACAACCAGAACGAAAGCTGGAATAACTCGCAGAGATATATGGGGAATGGATAACAAACCATGGAGTTCCTAAGGATCAGATGAATGAGAAAGCAGGGATGGTATTATTTAACCTGCCTTACAAAACTCATTCAAGTGCTAATGAACCAAAATTTACTTTCAGCTGCCTGTCAAGGATGGGGAGCCTCTAGAAATGGTTTCTTTACCTGCCAATAAAGAAAGGACACAGAGCTGAATCCATGAAATCAGCGGGAGTGAACAAGGCAGAGCTGCTTATCTTCATTCCTCTAGCCCTTATATTAGTCCTTATCAGATGTTACATCATGGTGTCCTGTCATGACTGTTTTGCACACGTGTAGTTGTCTATGCTGTCATTATTACATAACTGTCTCCCATTATGTGCTTGCCCCTGACAGTGGGGTTATGTCCTCAGCAGTCCTTAAACACCTGGGCTTTAATGCATCTTGCTACACTGCCTTAATAGTAGATTATGAGCTCTCATTAAGTTTTCAGTTTTCAAAATAAGAGAAAATCATTGAAGTCTGACTTACATTGAAGAAGATCAAGAAACTCACATGAAGTACATATTGTCACCCCTTCCAATTCTCTACAGGCACACACATCTATTTTTCAGTTTGATAGAGAATAAGAGTGGCACTACAAGAAGAGGAGAAATCCTATCATAGCATTCTAGTGAATAGAGGACATAGAGAAAGCAGGTAAGAAATGGAGTGATCCAAATCCATCTCTCAGTAATTTGTTCAGGGCCCCACACTGTGGACTTTCTTTGGCCTGAGGCCTGTGGCCATAATCAGATGGATATATAATAACTGGCCAGATTTTCCTGTCAGATCAGTAACATAAGGAAAAATATTAAAGTAGGAAATATGAAATGAAAGCTCCTGAAACTTCCTCATCCTAAGGTATACAACAGAAACAATATTACAACACATGCAATGATGGCATGAGATGCAATTCTTAATTAATTAACTGATGGATGATGTTGCCCTCTTTACTTCATCACTCTGACCTTATGACAACCTTGTAGATTACAGTCAATGTGAGTGGCCACTGTGACTCTACCCAAATGTCCTATCAATTATTACTGCTTTCCAACTGTTGTATCTTTACTAGAACAGATTAATTCATCTTCTGAATTTGCTTGCTGCTATTTATCTGGAAAAGTGTATGTAGCTATGTTAACTAAAGTTGCAAGTAATAATGAGCAGCATTTTTGGTCACTGTGGTTAAACTCATACATGTCATAGTTGTGATACTGCAAAGACAGAGATTTAAAGAACTCACATTAATTGAGCTTTAAGAAACTAGTCCTCTTGGGTGCACCAAAACATTCCATACAGTTTAAAGAATATATCAGTGTATTTTACTCTTTAAACACCAAGAAAGTAGTGAAACATTTGCTATAACTTTTTAGATTTTGCATATTTCAAATATTGCTTTAATACATTTTTCAGTAATGCGAAATAGTGCTTATTTTGAGTATGGTTAGAGCATGATAGATTCTGCAGGTTTAGAATTCTAGAAGTAGCTTTTCCACTTAGATCATATAATCTTTTGTTTCAAACACTGACAGACAATGGTGATAAGAATGGCAAGAGCTTCTGGCAAACTGCAATAGCAGAGTCACAACTCAATCAGCTAGGGTTCTAGAACCAAAACTCGTTGGCTTTATTTGAACCCCAATCCTTCTTATAAAAGCAGTTCTTTTATGTTCTTGCACATAGTATTCACTGAGCTTCTTGTTATGATATATCAAGTTGACTGTGCAATTGGTTGTACTATTTATCATGAGGTGAGTCTTTTCAATTTCTAGGTTACCATAGCAGATTGTGACAACAATAATTCATCATGAGATGGAAATGGCATATTAGAATGAGCCATTCAAAGGCCTGTAAGTTTTGGGGTGATATAAACCCATTAGAAGAGAGAACATGAACTAAAAATGGTTGGCTTAATATTGAAAGAAACTTGAGAACAAATAAAATTTAGAAATAAGATTTTTAAGCCCATTTCCTGTCTATTTATCTGTTCCTATTTCATCAAATTCCATTTATTATAGTGGCTTATGCCCCTGCAATTTGCTGACATTTAAAGAAAAAAATGCTCTTATTTAATAATCTTTTTTTCTGATATTGTTCTTACCCATCTCTTTTTTTTATCTTTCACAGTCAGGCCTGATTCATAACCTGAAGCGTCTCTTTATCTTTTCTGTCTCCTAAATCTTTTTTCTCAGAGAGTTTTCACTAACCTTTTGTATTCTAATCATAACTTGGCACGTGCTTCACTGGAGGGCCTAAACTAACAGTGTTGGAGAATTTTTCTGAAAGTAAGGGAGTAGCAAATGTGAATAAGAAATGGAAGAATTAAAGGCCTGACATACCATTGTGAGGAGAGGAATTTGAAGTGAAAATGACTTTGAAAATTTTTAATGATCACTGATTTTAAATAAAACATTTTTCTAATTTTACAATACACTATAGAGTACAGAAAATATTAATCAGGTGGTACAATAGGTTCCTGTGTATCCAATACATGGCTCCTCTGCTAGTCTGTCTGACCACTCCAATTGAATTTTTTCCTCTAAATCTGTAATATAATTTTTTCTAAATTTGAAATGTGACTATATCATCTCCTCCCTTAAATATTTCAACTACATCTTGCCATTGGTATAATAAATCCAAAGTTTATTATTGATTTAAAAAAATATTCAGACTGGACTTCCATTTAAGACCAGCAGATAAAGGGACAAAGTATAAGGGCCTTGGATAAACTACAGAAAAATGAAATGAGCCTCAGGAAATTAGACTACAAAGGACAAAGGACTTAAAAAATCTACTCACGGTAAGAAAACTAACAAACATCCGCAACTGCATTCCTTCATTTTTGCACATTTATCTGCCCCTTTCCCATACCAAAAGCTCTATATAGGCTCCCAGAGGTGGATGCTTCCTGCTTATCTTCCCTTTGAGCCCACATCAGCTAGCAAGGGCTTTGTTTTGTTCTTCCTAATAAGCCACACTTGGTTCATTCCCCTCTACAGTCCTGTCAGCATCATTCTTCATCGTCCTCAGGACAAGAGCTCAGAGGGAGAAAATTGGCTACAACTTTGATGTCTAACATGAGGCTCAACTTCTCTAAAGAGAGGTAAATGTGGTGGAATGGCTGAATTACACACAAACAGTTTTCCTATCTTTTTACATTCTAAGATGAGTAGGCCCTCTGCCAGCCAGTTAAAAGTCACTCTAGTGACTTCTGCTCATGAAGCAGAGGACAGGATCCTGATTAATCCTCCACTGATCCCCACAGACAATGAAAGTGTCAGCCAGCCAGGGCCCTAGATTTCTTTCAGGAGAGAGATGTCTGAATACATGGAACTGGTGAGAACTGGGGTGACAAATGTGACACTCTAGTCAGAGGTATTCCCTAGTGAGTGCTCCAAGGTCATCCAGTTGGAACTAAGTTCCCGACAGCAACAATCACCTGAGTCAAGACACGATGTAAAGTCTGCAGCGAACTTTATTTTCTGGCCGGGACCAAATCGCCTGCAAGGAGACTGGCCCTGGACTGAACTTTTGGTCCGTTTTTTATAGAAAAAAACCCTCACCTCTCCTTCCCCCTCCCTAGCCCTGTAGTAAGCATATCTACAGAAGCAAGAAAGAATGTGCGGTTAGCATATCTGGGTCACCAGGTGCATATTGTAAAATCAGCCCTCATAAAATGCAAACACCCATTCTGTTATCTATGATGGCGATTAACATGTCTGGTGTACTGAGACATCACACAGGAGAATAAACATGAGATAAGACCTTCTCAGAGGACACTTTCCCACCAGAACTGGGGCAATTCAGACAAAATGGAATCTCTTAAGCTAACTTAGGTCTCTCAACCCAGTAGAATCTGGATTCCAAAACTCAAACTAAATATCCAGCAGAGAAACCCCTACTTGCCTATTGCATCTCACCTGCACTCTTCTGTGAGGTGAGAGGCAAAGTCTCTTGATACTCTCCAAGCATCCCCTTTCCAGGGTGACCTGAGACCCCTCCATCTCATAGAGAGTTGAGCTATAGATTTGGGCTTTTTTACTCTCTTCCAGTATGACAGAGATATGTTTTGATACATTTACTGGGCCAAGAACAGGTTAGGATCCTAGCCTATATTCCAGCCTCGTATTGCAGTCAGGGTTTGCCAGAGAATAGATTTAATACATAATTTATAGTATTATTTTATAATAGTCACCCAAAAAGTCAAATGCAAGGGAGTGTAAGAGGTTAGTCACACACTAGGGACCCAAAATATCCCGCCAAAGGCCTGGGCCCCACAGTAATGTCCCACACAAGTCCAACTGAAAACTTAGAGTCCAAGGCAATGTCTTTAAAGTTGGTGACATTTTTTCATCTAAATTGTTACCTAATCAAGTTAATATTAAATATTGGTTTATAAATACAATGCCTATTGCTGTTTGTGTATGATAACAAGTGTTTCCATGGTCAAAGATTATATATATATATATAATATTTATATATAAAATATGTTAACTCTTATGATTTGTTTCTCTGAGTCATCTAAAATAATTGCTAAGATTAAAAAACTGGGGGACCCCTTGGACTTAGAAAACTGCTGGACAAGAATCCCCACTACGCATAAAAAGCAGCTGCCTGAATAAATTTGTTAATTTTTATCCACTGATAAGACTATTCAAGTTTTTCCCAAAGACTGATGGTGACACCCCAACTGATGTTATCAAATATATGATTGTAATATATGAAGTTAGTTATAATTAAAAGGTTAAGCTATATCTAAAACAATAAAAAGCTTTCTTAATATATTAAGATATCCTTGGTTAAACTTACAAAACTATATTAAAAACAAAGGTTTTATATTTTACCAAGACATCTTGTGTTTTCCATTGTTAGACTTGTGGTTACTAAAACTAAGTTTTAAAAGTTGAATGCAATGTTGGCTTATAAAATGTTTTTATTAATGTTTATGATTGGTTAAATAAACAACTACTCCTTAATTAATAACATGAACTATATATCTAAAAAGGAGATATGTGGTGAGTCTAAACTTTAAAGTTAAATTCATAAGGTTAAGACTACGTAAGTTTAATACATACAAAGTTACTGGATGTAATGGATGCTCTCTTTTATATAATATATATTTAGGCCTTAGAAATATCAAATGATCAAAATTTGGCATCTCTATCTTAGTTTCATCCTGTTATTTAAAACTTGATTTACATCTATTGATTTTGATTAAACAAAAAGTTTT